TCTTCTACACCTGTACAAACCCCTCGTCTTTAGTGTCAAAATTTTCACCTATCTACACCACAATTATTTGGCAAGTAACTTGCACCTAGCACGCCTGATGGTTATAAACCACCGAGAGTATGAAATAATATAAATTTTAGAGAGAGAGAGAATGCAAAGTAGGAGTCTATTGATTCAAATTCGGATCCATTACAATGAGAGGTGCCACCCCTTTTATAGGGGGTACAATACACTAAGTCAAAGCCCTCTGATCGAGGCTCGTCGTTTAGCAGACGCCACCTGTCCTTAGGTCTTGTCCCTTTCATCCTATCGCTTTCATCAAGTCTTCGTTGAACGTCGCTTTCCTCACGTCGTTGTCGCGGGGTTCGGGCTCGGCTTGGTTGGCCGAGCCGAGCAGGAGAGACGAGCGGAGCGCATGGCCGGGCAGGAAGACGAGCGGAGCTCTGAGCCGGGCAGGAAGACGAGCGGAGCTCTGGACCGGGCAGGAATGTCCAAGCCCGATACCTAGGAAATTTATGCTACGTGGGGTTATTCCCCATCAGAAGCCCCCCACTCTCTGGGTTCCGGGGCATTTAGCAGCGGAGCGCGTGAGAGTAGACAACACTGTAGACGGTCAGCTCGTGGTCCGCGATGGAAGGGGCTTCGCTGAGTGGGGCGAGGTCCCCACTTCGCGCTCGATGGATTGCGGGAACCCAGCCTTTGTGAAGGTGGCGTTCCCCCTCAAGCCTTCGTTCTTGTGGGAGCCGCGCCGTTTCCTGCAGAGCTTCATCCCCCCACCGGACCGAATGGAGATTTGTTTGTCCGCCACAGAGGACCTTGCCTCCACCCTTATGCTCGAGGTTGGCTCGGTAAGTGTTTTTCACTTTAGTTCGGGTGCTTTTCCTGCCCGATACTTAAACAAATTTGCTGTTGTTGAAGGTGGCCATGCGCATCCCGGAACTGGTGGAGCGCATGGAGTGGTATGTGGCGGAGAAGGCCAAGGGCGAAGAGGAGCTTCGGAGGCTGCAGGAGCCTGCGGCCGACTTCGAGGGGAAGCTCGCTGAGGCGGAGGAGCGTGCTTGGGATTCGGAGGAGCGGGCTCGGGTTGTAGAGCAGGCTCGCATCGCCGCTTAGGAGAAGGCGCGCCGCCTTGCTGAGGAGGCCGAGCACGTGAACAAGGCCTTTCAGACTTCCCTTGCGTTCGAGGAGGCGGCTCTCTCCTGCATGAACAATCTCTTGAAGGTCTGGGCTCAAACCCCCGACGGCCAGCGTCTCCTTCTCAAATAGGGGCAAGCCAATTACTCCATGGGTTTGCATAGGGCTCAAGAAGTCTTGCTAGAGCGGATCAGAGATGGGAAGGAACTCCCGAAGCCGTGCGAGAACCCTGAGGAGTTTGATTCCTCCATCTACTACTCCGATGATGAGGACGCTGCTGGAGGGGGTGAGGACACAGCCGGAAATTGAGCGCGGTTGGGCCCAACGCTGAACTCCACCCTTTTCTTTTCAATGTAATGTTTTTGTGCTCGAACAATATGTTTCGTATCGCGCGACTATTATCTTTGACTCTTCATGGTTTGTGATGCCTTTATCGTCTTGCTTTGATTCTTAATCGCATTTCCTTGAATAAGTTTTGAAGTCGGAACGGCCGTTTGATGAAGTGCTTGCGCTTGCTTATGCGAGGCCGTGCTCACGCTTGGGCTCACTTCGCCAAAGACGTGCTCAACTCGTCTCGTTACCTAACCGGGCTCGCCTTATCCACGTGGCGCTCTGCCCAAACCTTGGCCTTGGTGCCTTTGCCCTCCAGTCCAACGGGTTCCACCCTTGGGACTTGATGCCTTTTACTCTACCCCTGCGCTTCCTTTGATCAACCCGGTACCCGAGGCGACCTTGTAAGGCGTTCGCGCCGTGCACTAGCCCCTTTTTCAAGGATGAATAAAATTTGAATTTGATTTTATGTCTCGTTTTTAGTCATTATTTTTGAGCGCGAGTGTTTGGCCTCCATCCAGGAAGAACATCCGGGTATGGTCTACGCTCGGTTTTCCTCCCGTGGAGGAGTGCCGCGCCCAAATGTTTGACCTCCATCCGGGAAGAACATCCGGGTATGACCTGCGCTTGACTTCCCTCCCCAAGGAGGAGAGCCGAGCGCGAGTGTTTGACCTCCATCCGGGAAGAACATCCGGGTATGGCCTGCACTCGGCTTCCCTCCCAGGGAGGAGCGTCGAGCGCGAATGTTTGAACTTCATCCGGGAAGAACATCCGGGTATGGCCTGCGCTTGACTTCCCTCCCCAAGGAGGAGCGCCGAGCGCGAGTGTTTGACCTCCATCCGGGAAGAACATCCAGGTATGGCCTTCGCTCGGCTCCCCTCTCGAGGAGGAGCGCCGAGCGCGAGTGTTTGACCTCCATCCAGGAAGAACATCCAGGTATGGTCTGCGCTGGGTTTCCCTCCTCGAGGAGGAGCACCGAGCGCGAGTGTTTGACCTCCATCCGGGAAGAACATCCGGGTATGGTCTGCGCTCGGCCTTCCTTCCTTCCGAGGAGGAGCGCCGTCCTTCAAAAAGGCGACTATGTCGTCCATCCAATCTCTTGGCCGAGCACAGATCATTGCCACAGGGGAAGCATGGATGCTCGGCTCAGACAGCTCTTCCATGTGTTAGAATAAAAGACCAACGCTAGAGGGGGGGTGAATAGCGTTTGATCGGAGAAATCGCAGGAATTAAAAATTTAAAAGAAAAGTAAAGAGAAGAGTAAGAGGCACACCGAATTTTACCCTGGTTCACCACAACTTGTGGCTAATCCAGCCTCCCGAGAGACTCTCTCGAGCTACACTACTAACTCGTTAAGCTTACGGGTGCTTAACAAACCGTTACAACTTGAGAGTTCGAGTCACACGAACCTCAACGAATCCTTCAAAGGAAACAGACCTTCGTTTGAATCAACCGAGAGTGATACTATCTCTCAACGTGTCTAAGAACACAAGTACACTCAAGAACGAGACTCTCTTATAGAGTAGATTATGAGTAAACTAAGTACGCTCAAGAACAACTCAACCTTCACACAAGTGGCTCTAGAAAGCTATGGAAAATTATGATATTTGAATGTAATGAAAGTATAGATGTTGTGAAGTGAATTGGTGAGAAAAGCAGACCCAAACACCCCTTTTTATAGTGCAAAATTAGGCTCCAACGGACCAATGCATTAAAGGAGTGATTAGCTTGATTTATGGGATTGAAAAGATTTGGGATCTGCAGAATATTGGCTTCCCATCGATGTTT